AAATTGGCAAACATTAGCAAAAAATTGGCAAACATTGGCAAACATTGGCGAAAATTTGGCAAAAAATTGGCAAACATTGGCAAAAAATTGGCAAACAAACATTGGCAAACAAACAACAATAGTTCACTGAACTTCAATAAACTTGAAAAACGGCACAACGTGCTTGAAGACAAAACCAAAGACAGCCAATGAGCAGCATGGCTCCGATGTGGACATCCGGGCGAGCATCGGCCAGAGCAGGGGCGGGATTCCGGATGCTGGTCCTCCAGAGGGAGCCGTCCATAGGACCCTGGGAAGGGGTAATTGAAAAACAACCATCAGTGATCCTGAAGATGAGCTCCAGGGCCACTCCAAAAAAAACTTCTCCATGAATTTTGGGGTCGAGTACCCTCGTCCTGAGAGGCCCTATCAAGGCGAGCATCAGCATACCATGCAAACCTATCAAAGGTCAACGATGAAGACAATGACAAGCTGAAGAAGAAGAAGAGAGGAGGAGAAGAAGAAGGGGGGAGGAGGAGGAGGAGGAGGAGGAGGCGAACAAGAAGAAAAAGGAGGAGGAGGAGGCGGCGGTGAAGAAGAATAAAAAGGAGGAGGAGGAGGAGGAGGAGGAGGAGGAGGAGGAGGAAAATAAGAAAGGAGGAGGAGGAGGAAGAAGACGAAGGAGAAGACCAAGAAGAAGAAGACGAAGAAGAAGAAGACGAGGACGAAGACGACGGCAAAGAAGAAGAAGAAGAAGAGAAAGGAGGAGGAGGAGGAAGAAGACGAAGGAAGACGAAGAAGAAGAAGAAGAAGAAGAAGAACAAGTCCAATTTCGTTTATGGCCAACCATTTCGATAATAATTGGAAAATCAACGACTACATCCATGGAATGTAATAGAACGATTTCTGTGGTTGTTCCGTGCACAATTCTTGTTTCTTCCAGGCTTTTCTCACGTACTGAAAATGCCATAAAACATTCAAAGACTCGGCAAGGACAGACCGGACAAGTTTTGCAAAGAAAAATCCCGATTTCCACGAATTCACAAAACCTAGTATCTGAAATGGAACACTTGGCATAACTCGACGGCCAGGCGGCCCAACTCATTCACCCAAACGCCACGGTCGGATTACCCATGCATAGAAATCAAGAGAGAAATGGACCCATTGTCTCAGAAAAAAACAAAGAACAAAAAACAGAGAGGAAGGAGGTGGAGTGGAAGGGAGGGGAAGATGAGAGAGGTGAAACTCGTAACCGGATACATGTGGAAAAAAACAAAGAACAAAAAACAGAGATACGTCCGTGCAGTCCAATTAAGTTTCGCTCTCAAATAAACTGGAACCTTTCATCCAGCATACATGTGAGTTCCAAAACGGTTCCATTACCAGGTTACAAAAAGGTTCCAGAAAGGTTCCACTGCAGGTTCCAAAGGCGTTCCACAGCCAGGTCCGAGAACGATTCCACTGCCAGGTTCTAGAAAGGTTCCACAGCCAAGTTTTAGAAAGGGGTTCCTGTGCCAGGTTCCACTGCCAGGTTTTATTCCAAAAAGGTTCCATGAAGGTTCCACTGCAGGTTCCAAAGGGGTACCACAGCCAGGTCCCAGAACGATTCCACTGCCAGGTTCCAGAATGGTTCCACTACCATGTTCCAGAAAGGGGTTCCACTTCCAGGTTCCAGAAAGGCTCTAGAAAGGTTCCCCTGCAAGGTTCACGAAAGGTTCCACTGCCAGGTTCCAGAAAGGTTTCACTGCCAGGTTCCAGAAAGGTTCCACTACCAAGGTCCAGAAAGGTGTTCCACTTCCAGGTTCCAGAAAAGCTCTAGAAAGGTTCCCCTGCAAGGTTCCAGAAAGGTTCCATTGCCGGGTTCCAGAAAGGTTTCACTGCCAGGTTCCAGAGAGGTTCCACTACCAAGTTCCAAAAAGGTATTCCAGGTTCCAGAAAGGCTCTAGAGTCTAGACAGGTTCCATTGCCAGGTTCCACAAGGGTTTCACTGCCAGGTTCCAGAGAGGTTCCACTACCAAGTTCCAAAAAGGTATTCCACTTCCAAGTTCCAGAAAGGTATTCCACTTCCAGGTTCCAGAAAGGTATTCCACTTCCAGGTTCCAGAAAGGCTCTAGAAAGGTTCTCCTGCAAGGTTCCAGAAAGGTTCCACTGGCAGGTTCCTGACAGGTTTCACTGCCAGGTTCCAGAGAGGTTCCACTACCAAGTTCCAGAAAGGTATTCCACTTCCAGGTTCCAGAAAGGTATTCCACTTCCAGGTTCCAAAAAGGTATTCCACTTCCAGGTTCCAGAAAGGCTCTAGAAAGGTTCTCCTGCAAGGTTCCAGAAAAGGTTCCACTGGCAGGTTCCAGACAGGTTTCACTGCCAGGTTCCAGAGAGGTTCCACTCAAATCTTTGCAGTCCCACACAAGCTGAAGGAGGGCGACGAATCCAAAAGGTTCCACAAGGGAAACCTGGCCTACCTGTCCGTCAGTCAGTCAGTCGTCCTTCCAGTTGAGTAATCAAAATGCTTATCAGGAACCCCTTCGGGAGAATGGAAGGAAGAATGCGTGCACGTTGGTTGTTCCTGTTCCTCTGTGATGGAGGGGAACACAACAGCACGGTGTGCGAAGTTGTAAGGAAAAGCAGGGAAGCCCATGCATGAGACTAGTCAATTCACAGATCACACTCAAGATGAGGATGGTCCATTAACGGATCACGCCCATGAAGACGATGAGGTAGTACTGTAGTACACAAGAAGATAGAAATGATAGAAACGAAAACAGGTTCCACCTTCACACCGACAATCCCAAGAACCTCTGTCAGTCCATCCAACCTCCTCCGACACGCTAGTCTACCACCGTCCGGACGGCAGCGGAGTCGCCGAGTCGAAGACCTGAGATCGAAAAGGGCAAAGCCTCAAGGGCAAATTAGAGATGAAGATGACCGGACATGAAGACACCACTGAGTCGAAAGGAGAGAGAAAAAACAGAGGAAAGAGACGGAAAAGGAGAGTGAGAAGAGGCATCCACACAGAAAAAAAAACAGAGAAACAGACGGAAAAGGAGAGTGAGAAGAGACATCCACACAGAGCCATGGAAAGCAGGTACGCGCAAAAAAACAGGGCGCTCATATCAAAAAATAAACATGAGATCGCAGAGAGAGCGCTATGCAGGAAAAGCAATCAGAGTCACCGAAAAAAAAAAAAGAAGAAGGGAGCCAGACTGAAGCTCCCCAGAATAGAAAGGAGCCAGAACCATTAGGCTCTGCTTATTAATTTGAAGAAAAATCATCATGATGCAGGATAAGCCTATAAGGCGATCCGTGCGTGATATACGCCTGCCCTAAGAGCTAACTACATCTGACAGCTAAGGCTACACCCCAGCTCTGCCACAGCAACCTTAGGGCCAGATCCCACTGGCAAAGAGGATTGGAACGAGTGTCTGAATCTGGACGTGTTTGTGGCAAGGTGCAGAAAACTGTGATTGATCTGCTTTTCTGCATCTGTGCAGAAAACTGTGATTGATCTGCTTTTCTGCATCTCTGCATGGAACACGTCCAGATTCGGACACTTATTCCAATCGTCCTTGCCAGTGGGATCTGGCCCTTAGCCCTTGTTTACAGATGGGCTCGGCAGGGTGATGCGGATGTCTGTCAGCTTCGCTTAATGACGTAGAACCCTTCTCTTGGGCCATACTCACACTACCGTCTTCACCCGAATAGAACGCCCGGTAATTATCGCCGTATCTAGGCTGAAAGTTGTGCCAAATACAGCTATAATGACCGGGCGTTCTATTGGGGGGTAAGTGAAGACAGTAGGACTTTCCTGGAAGTATCTGACTAATTCACACCCATGCCTGGATGCATCTGACCGCAATTATGCCCAGAGGGGAATTGGAAAAGTTCTAGTGCGAAAAGAATCTCACAGTCCTGGTGTGAAAAGAATGTCACTAACACAATGTGTAGTTAGAGTGTCGATTTCCTGCCGACCGTTAGATATGCAATGTGGTGGGATGGAAGGAGAAGATGCTTCGCTTTTTTTTTTTTTTTTTTTTTTTTTTTTTTTTTAACTAACCTATATTCGTCGCTCGATATACCTCCCACTAGCTACCCCTATATACCACTAGCTCAGCCTGGGACGCTGGGGTTATGGAGATTCCCAGCCTCCAAATTTTCGCCTCAGCATATTCTGCGGGCTGTTCTGTGCGGAGAACAGTACCCCGGCTCCTGACACCTGGTGCGAGCTGGACAGAAGCACCACTTCCACAGCCAACCAGGAGGGCCCAAACCAACTATCTCTGCTGATGAACCCGAAGTGCGAACCCAGGGGACCGCAGGGGATCGAAAGGATGACACGGGGAATCGAACCCCTGACCTCCTGGATGCCACTTACATGCTCAACCACCTGAGCTAGCCCGCTTGGGCGATTCTCATCTGATCTATCATCAAAGGAGGCTGAAAAGAAGGAGGCAAAGGAGGGGGCAAAGGAGGAGGAGGAGGAGGAGGAGGAGGAGAAGCAGAACAAGCAAGAGGAGGAGGAGAGTTGGCCAGTATTTTGCAGTTGAGTGGGCCGAGGCGAAGAAGAAGAGGCGGAGGAGGAGGATGGCGACGAGGAGGGGACAAAGAAGAAGGCCAGCATTTTGCAGCTTAACTAGTCCAGGCAAACTTGGTAGGTATACCAACGGGGCTAGCTCAGTAGTTGGTACACCCAATTAACTGTTGAAATACAGACCCGAGTTTGAATCCAGCTGCGATCAGATGAACGGAATAAAATAAATCTGAATTACCTGGGCCCGTCAGCTCAACGATGATATCTTAAGGCCGTCGTCTTAAAAAAAAAAAAAAAAAAAAAAAAAAAACACTTGGTAAATACTAAAWACTAAATAGGGGTTTTCTTTCTTGTTTTTTTTTTACAAAATGACTTGGAAATTGGAACAGAAAATGAAATTGGAAAACAAACCTGCAAGGCGGGGAACAGAACAGTATACCATCGCTTGTCTATTGCGCTATATGTTGTCTTGTACTCAGAAGCACTTGATACCTGTGGCTGCAGGGGTGTTGCAATACAGACCCACGTTCGAGTCCCGGCACAATCAAACAACAAGGCAGAGCAAAGTAGGCATGAGAAAAGACATTCAAAAGAGTTAAAGAAAACGGCATAGAAGTAATGATACAAAACAGGTAATATGGTACCTATAATCGGAAAACCGGCATGAGCAAATTAGGAAAAAGGTTAGGAAAACTTCCGAAAAAGGCATTCAGTGGACTCAAAATTTCCTGTCTTGCAATGAACGCTCAGTGCGCCCCTCCCCCCCGCCCCCCTCCTCCTCTTCCCCCCCAAAAAAATAATAATCATAAAAAAAAAAGGTATCACGTTAGTAATGATGTGAAACAGATAGAATGGTACCTATAGTAGTATAGTATCAAAAGATTCAAAATCAGCATAAGCTTTTTTTGCCTCTCTCTCTGTGATTGCATCTGGACTCGAACTCGGGTCTGTATTTCAAATTGTCAACACTTCAGGAGTGTACCAACTGACTGAGCACTCTGGATTATAGGCAAATGCAATCAGACTCACTTTCTTTTCCACTTCGCAAACATGCAAACAGATGGCCATTCACACTGACGCAGCACGCCCACTGCAATGAACCCAGATCATGAAGACACTCGTCAACAATGCAAGTCCGGAATATCAAGCCGCTGATGATTACCAATAGTCAAAATCGTGTCCAGAAAGAATGAGATGAGATAATCATACACAGACGAAGGAGGGAGGAGGGAGATTAGACAAAGGAGAGGAATGATAGCACAATGCCCACTCCTGCTTCGGGTTCCCTCCTCGATCGCCACTTTAAATAATCAATAGTCGGAACACATGTCCGAAGTCCTACAACAATGTGCCACGTGGCACGTCTAATCATCTCATCAGCGCTGGAGCAATGTCGACATGAAGACAAACAGGTACGTATCCACGATCTCTCCACAGACCTGATCTCCTCCTGAAGTGACGATGAAACAGAACAGCAGTGCCGGCCACGTAGTCCTAGCAATAGAACACGTGGCAGCAGCCACATCAGCAACAAAGCGTGGCAGCTGCCACGTCAGCATGCCTTGAAGACAGTAGCCAGCCAGCCACCATGCCGAGCTAGCAGCGCGTCGCCGCAAATCTCCCAAATGCCAGCACTAAGCCAGCGTCCACCAGCGTCGCAGCGTCGAGCCAGCGTCGTGTCGTCAACGCGTGAACTCAGCATTGATGCAAGACGGAATGAATGTCAAAGCCAGGAAGTCAGCGCTTATGTAGCGTTGACGCGGGGTCTGGACCCCGGATGCTGCATCCCTCAGCCGTCCAGATCTCAATGCAACGAGGGTCCAGATTGATCTGAAACCGAATTCCCTCCGGCCTGGATGCTGTCTGGGTACCTGTGCACAACAAGTGAGTGTATCCAACCAAGGGCCTGGGCGTGGTACCTTTGACTCTACAGTTGACTTTCACCTTTGAATTTCCAGTATACAGCATTTGGTCACACAGCCAAACGCAGCAGACTCAGGCCTGGGCAGCGTCTTGGTCACACAGCCCAGTGCAGACCAACCCAGGTCTGCGTTGCCTGGGGTGAAGTTCTGGGCCCCAAGCTGCCTCTGGACGGGGTTACTGCACGACTCAAAACTCAGAGATATGGAAAACGAGAACACAGTTCAGATGCAAAATCGCTTCAACAACTATGGCGCTTCGGCGCCTGCACATCCAACTCTCGTCACTGTGTCTAACACCACAATCCGCACATACTCAACCCTGAATCACCCTGAATACTCCACATGCTTCCCTCCCTTACACACACACACACACTAAAGCCTATCTTCTTCCTACAGCGGCTATGGCCGCTCTACTACTACTGACTATGGCTACGTTGTCTCTCTTCAGCCCACTTCGACTTCGGGCGACCTGCAGACCACCTCGCACAAGACGCTGTAGCAGCGCTTCCGCATGGCTTACGCAGCAAATGAATGAATTGCTGGGCGCTGCTTCTTGATTTATACTTCTGTTTGCCGCTGGTCTGCCCCATTCCACCAGGCCCTTGGTGTGTACAGTCCCACACGGTACTTGCTTGACCAGACTGAGGGTGACTGGGACTGGTACCACTGACTGCATGAGCTTGCACTGCCGACTCAACGCAATTGGACCTGCGACTCACCTACAGACCTCTAGCCAGCAGTTTCGACCTCTACACAGCTATAACCCTACTCGACAGACCTACAGATCGAACCCCTAAAACTACACACACCTACGACAGACAACACCCAACTACCAAAACACAGGTCACGGGTTCAAACACTCGGGGTTCAGCTCGATACGGTACATGGGCAAGGTAAGGTCTAGGGATCGAACTCTAGGGCCCGCATCTGTGACTGCAAAAAGGTGAAAACCGTTTTACAAATTAGGAAAAGGAAAAATTCAGTGGACACTGGACTCCAAATTTCCTGTCCCACAATGAACATTCCAGTATGGCAATGCTATCAAAACCAACGTAAGGAAGCCATCTCCACAAAAAAAAAAAAAAAAAAAAAAAAAGGAATCCACTTCTTCTACTCCCCCCCCCACCTCTCCCCCCCTCCCCCCAAAACACGCACACAATAATTTGGACCATTTAATCAATTTTAATGGCATTTAATAATTTTAATTGCCATTTATCGATTGGTGTCTCCCATCCTTCCATACTAGCCATGCTAATCTTCTCTCATTTCTCTGTATCATTCCGATTTTGACGTTCTTGTGCAGGCGCCATGCCAATCTTCTCTCTATCGTTCCAATTTTTTAAGTTTTAGAGGATGTCTCATCATGTGTGATGCTTTCACCCTCAGACAAATCCAGTTAAGAAGTCAACAGTCTTAAGAGCCAATTAACTCAGACTTCATTCGCCTAATCCAGTCATTCCAGTCGTTCCTCTGATCGAGTGACCAACTCAAAGAGAACAGGCACAGGGAAAAAAAAAAAAAAAAAAAAAAAAAAACTAGGTGAAAACTGCTGAACTGTCTTTCCTTCTTTCTTTCTTTCTTTCTTTCTTTCTTTCTTTCTTTCTTTCTTTTGACAAACTGGAAATCGTTTTCAGAAAAGAATGATAAAGAGTTTAAAACATGGAAGAACCTTCTTCTTCTTCTTCTTCTTCTTCTTCTTTTTCTTTTTCTTTTTTTTTTAAATGGCCTTTAGGTATGATCATCAAACAGATAGAGCCCAGGTACTCCCGAGTTATTTCATTCGTCTGCATGTCAACATTTTCATGGGCGTACCATTCAGCCACATGGCGGGGGTAAAAACTAGAACCTTGAGACTGTGACCTGATTCAAATTTCAAACCAGCACTACCTCCGAGCCGCTTTTGCCAAGGTGGAAAAGGAATATGTGCCAAACTCTGCCGAAGCAGCAGCGCAGCATTTTTATTTTTATTTTTATTTTTTTCCCCTTTGGTTACTTGCCGCCATCCATTGTGGTCCCCTACCACTGTTCATTTCCAATGAACCCGGAATATTACATTTTCGATTCTCGACATTGCCTGGGAAAGGTAGTGGTGGTGTCAAAGGCATTCTGCTGTCTACCATCTACATATAATACCATGACTCCATGAGCTTCTGTACCAGGGGGCGTTTTTTTTTTTTTTTTTTTTTTTTTGGGGTGGGTGGGGGAAGGGAGTGGGAGTGGGAGGGGGGAGGGTTTGGCAGTATTACAGCCACCACCAAAAGATTTTTCACCTGTACCACAGAGGTCTTGATGATGTAATCATGGATTGGAATGTAAGATGGCAGATTTGGAAGTGACGCTGACCGTTGATTATGAAATCCCCAGTTACGGAAGATCGAACCCCTCTCCTTTGGGACGGCAACACCCTTTGGTACCAAGCTTCCATGGCGGACCAACAGATTAGGCTGCAGAACATCATGTCAGAAATTTCAGTACAAGATGTCAGAAGCTGTGGCTGAGATTATTAAGTACAGATTGAGGTCTCAGATTTGGGCACTTCAAAAAAAAAAAAAAAAAAAAAGAGGGCGATACGGCCTTGAGATATCATCTTTGAACTGGCTGGCCCCAGGTTAAAAAAAAACTCCGCAGTTAATTTTTACTCGATCTGAAATTCAGATCGCATTGGAATTTTGAACCGGGGACTGTATTTCAAGTTTCAACAGTTCATGGGTATACCAAACTGAGCTAGGCTAGTTGGTATTTGGGCCAATTTCAGCTCAGATGCAGATAAAATGCACATAAAATTTCAGGCCAGATTGAAGATAATGTCCCAATACTTCCCGTAATGGGATGGAGTTGTTGGCACAAGGCTTCTTTCCAAAAAAAGCAAAGATCTTAGGCCAAACCCGGATCAGACGATTCAGATTCCCCTTTTTGCAAAAAAGCACGGGGGGTACCTGAGAGAGCCATGGGCATTATGAGATAGGACAGGATTGGCAATTTTTTTTGCCATTCTTTCTTTTTCCCTCAAAATTTAATTTCCAATTTTCCATTATATATTAGGATTGGCATTCTTGAGCTGTGCACTGACAATTCCAGGTGTGCATCATTTATTGACTGGACAGCCGGCCACAATTTTTTTATCGGATTTTTTGGTCAGGTGTGGGTTGAACTCAAGTCAGACTCAGGTGACATTCAGCTCTGATTTGTCTCAATTTACTAATTTAGGTCTCATCTCATCCCATCCATCCATCCCATCCATCCATCCAATCCATCCATCCTGTCCCATCCCTTGCATCCATTCCATCCTGTCCCATCCATCCCATCCCATACAGCCAGGGTATCACAACCAACTCAAAGGAATTGACGGGGGCCTGTACAAGCGGTGGAGCATGTGGTTTACTTCGATACAACGTGCAAAACCTTACCAGCCCTTGACATATGAAAGAAACTCCTCGTAAGAGATGTACTTTTTGACTTCATACAGGTGCTGCATGGCCAGCCCGTCCCATCCGTCCCATCTGTCTCATCGCATCCCATCCATCCAACCCATCCCATCCATACCATCCATCTCACCCATCTCATCCATCTCATCCATCTCATCCATCTCACCCATCCCATCCGTCTCATCCACCCGATCCCTCTCATCCTTCTCGTTCATTGCATCCATCCCATCCCATCCCATCCCACAATGCAGACTGCCGCAAAGTGACGTGCAGGGACGTCTCGGCTTTGATACCCACTCCCACCTGGTTATTTTGCGCCCTCTACTTTTTTGCTTCCCTGCTGCCTGACTGGCCATCCGATTGCCTTGCTGCTGCCCATGTTTGCCTTCATGCTCAACCGCCTACCCCCGCCCACGCGCCCTTGGTATTGCTGCTGCCTGCCTTGGCTTGTTGCTTTTCTTGGCCACCTGCTTTCCTCTCCACTCACGCCCTCTACTTTTCTGCTGCACCGCTGCCTGGCCGCCCACCCAATTGCCTTGCTGCTTGCCCACGTTTGCCTCCATGCTCAACCGCCTACCCCCGTGCACCCGCCCTTTGCGTTACCGCTGCCTGCTTTGACTAGTTGCTTTCGTTGTCACTCGCCTGACTCTCTATTCGAAACAGCGGCCAAAGTAGACTATGTCATCTATATCCTAAACGCACATTTAACGCAGTAATTTTGGATACATATTTTGCATGCTCTTATCTAAAACCCTCCCTTCCCCCTCTCCCCGCCATCTTACAGACACACGTCCATGGAATTGGCTGATGCCATCTGGGGTTTGTGGGAGGGCCAAGAGTTCATGCAATGGGTTAGACCTCCATAGGCTGCTTCTTGAAAGGGATCTGGGCAATCTGGGAAATTGGGCTTCTGCTTTCACATGGCGATTTATCACCTCAGCTGGCTCTTGAGCCTGTGTTGTTTTCCACCTGTTTGATTAGGCAGGGGCGGCGGGGGGGGGGGGGGGGTTGGGGGGGGGTGTCTACCGATTTCTATTTTTAGTGCAAGTACATATCAAAGGGATGGATGAGCGCCCATTCCCCGTGCGATCACACACGAGAAGAACCTTGCGCTTTTCTGAATGTGCGATGACCCCGTGCAGTTGCAGTGTGAGATCTCAGATTTGTCCATTTTTCTAAGAAATTGCTGTCTGTTGACCCGATTCGCTGAGATTTTGGAGTCCGAGGCTAGTTTGCTGTGTTGTCAATGTGACCATTATTACCGTCTTCGCCGGAATAGAACGGCCATCGGCCGGTCATTACAGCTGTATTTGGTGCAACTTCCATTCCAAATACGGCAATAATTACCGGGCGTTCTATTCGGGTGAAGACGGTGGTCCATCTGATGTTTGCTGAGTCTGAATCTGTGCCCGCGTGGGAACTCTGTTCTCGTGCTGTCTTTCTGTATCCGGGGAGGGGTAGAACATTGAGTAGGTGTAGAGGGGTAGGACTGAAATTTGGACAACCGACCTAGGGGAAATTCTAGCACACAAATTGGCTTAAGCTCTGTTGGTACACCCATGAGCTGTTAAAATATGAATCAGACCCAAGTTCGAATCCAGATGCAACAAGATGGCCAGAATAAAATCATTCTGAAATTCTAGTACAGACAGGGACACAAGTAGAATTTGCTCGGGACCCTTTAGCGATTTTCCAGCTACTTGGAGAGGCCCTAGACCGGGACGGGATAGAGGGTGGGTAAAGATGATACCAGGACTGTATTGTGTCTAGTTTAGGTCTCGGTTCAGGGCCAGTAGGTAGAATTACAGTCCGCAATGATCTTCCCACCCAAAAAAAAGGAATGGGAGCCCATAGGTTCCAACTTCCAAGCGCTGGTAACACCCCAGCAACACCCAGGTGCAGAGGCAAAGAGGTCCTTGAAACGGTTTTCACCTTTTGCAGTCACAGATGCAGGCCCCAGAGTTCGATCCCCAGACCTTACCTTACCGTACCTGTGTACAGTATCAAGTCGACCCTGTGAGTCTTGAACCCGTGACCTGCGTGTTAGTAGTTGAGAGTCGTCTGTCGTAGGTCTGAGTAGTTGTCGGGTCTTGAACCTTAGACCTGTCGAAGTAGGGGTCATACCTGCATAGAGGTCATAGCTGTTGGAGTTCTGAAAGGTCAAGGTCGTAGCTGCTACAGTGCTGAAAGTTCAAGGTCGTAGCTGCTACAGTCCTGAAAAGTCAAGGTCGTAGCTGCTACAGCCTTGAAAGGCCAAGTCCGCAAACTTCCGGAAGGTCCGGAAGTGGCCTTTCAAGTTTCTTCTCACGTCTTACACAGCAGACTGGAGGCAAGTGGGCAAGTGGTGAGCCCAACTTCGCTTAGTCAGCAGTACCCAGTCCCAGTCTCACTTTGCACAGTCAGCAAGTACCATGAGGGAGTGTGTGCACCATGGGCCCGGTGGAAAAGGGCAGACCAACGACTTACAGAAGTATAAATCAAGAGGCAGCGCCCAGCCATTCATTCATTTGCTGCGTAAGCCACGTGGAAGCGCTGCCCTAGCGTCTTGTGCGAGGTGGTCTGCAGGTTGCCCGCGGTTGAATTGGGCTCGAGGAAGTCAATGCGTCATAGTTAGTAGTAGCCGGCGGCCATAGCCGCCATAGCTAGTGTTAGGTGTTAGTGTGTCTGAACGAGTGTGTGATACAGTGAATGCGTGTGGGGTATTCAGGATGATCCAGAGTTGAGTGTGTGCGAACAATGGTGTTGGACACAGTGACGAGAGTTGGGATGTACAGGCGCTGATGCGCCATAGCCTGTTGAAGCAAGTTTGCATCTGAACTGTGTTCTCGTTTCCATATCTCTGAGCTTTGAGTGGGCGCTTGGCGGCAGTGTGAATTGCCATCTGTTTGCATGTATGCGAAGTGAAGAAGAAAGCGAGTTCGATTGCATCCTGACGCAAGAGTGCATAATTCCAGTGCCATTGTACTTTTGGAAAGGATAAGGGGTTTTATTTGGTGATTTTTGTACCTCACCCCAGCCTCCACAAGCAGTGCCACACACCTTCCCCCCCCTCCCCTTTCCCCCCCACTCACCCAGCCCCTCACACACACTCAGCTGCTTTTCTTTCTTCCTTCCCTTCTTTTCATTTCACGTCCACCCTTCCTCCCCAGCTTTGAGAGATGGTTGATGGAGAGTTACGGAGGCCCAGTGCTCCATACCCCGACCGTCAGCACCCCTTGACTGGTCAGCACTTAACGATCGGGGGTTGTCGGCACCCCGCAAAACAACAACAACAACAACAACAACTGGGAGTCCATAACCCCCAATACCACTCCCAACACCCCCATACAACCCCCCAACACCCCCAAACCGTC